GGAGAATTGCAGTTAGAGACCAGTAGTGGCAAAACAAACAAACAAAAAAGAATAGTGTGACTCCATCCCACAAGAAAGCCAGGCATAATGCTTCACATCAGTTATGCCAGCTCTCTGGGAGGGATAGCTAGTAGTATTATGGTCTCAAGCTGACCCCAGCAAAAATTGACATCTTCTCTAAAAAACAAAATAAGACAGAAGGTCTAGAGGTATGGCTCAAGTGGCAGAGTTCCTGACTAGCAAGTACAAGACCCTGAATGCAAAGCCCTTACAAAACAACTAGGACTCAAAGAACTAAATATTTGTGTGGAGACAAGAAATTCTGTAAGGAACAGTGGGTAAACTTTTTAACAAATAGAATCCTTGTGTTGTACTATTTTAAATTGGTGGGGCAACAATTAACATAGTATCAATTGGTTATGTCCTTTGCTGTGCAGAAATTTTTAAGTTTGATGCAGTCCCATTGATCAAGTCTTTCTTTGCTTTTTTGTGCTTAAGGATCTTTACTCAGAAAACTTCTACCTGTGCTAAGAAGCCCTATTGTATCTTCTACTCGTTTCAATATTAAAGTTTTCCCAGCACCATTTGTTTAAGAGGTTTTCTTTCTTCCAGCCTATGTTTTGGCACCCTTATCAAATATTAGATGGCTATAGATCTATGGGTTTATTTCAGGGTCTTCTATTCTGTTCCATTTGTCTTGTTTTTGTGCCAATACCAAGCTGTTTTCATTACTATAGCTCTGTAGAAGAGTTTGAAATTTGGCATTGTTATACCTCCAGCACTACTTTCCCTGATAAGAGATTTGTCAACTATACATCAGACAAGGGCTTAATATCCAGAATATAGCTATCTAGCTATTTAGCTAGTAGATTAAAAAAATTAAACCCTCAAAGAAATAACAACCAAATTAATAAATGGGCTAATATTCTAAAGAGAGATGTCTCAGAAGAAGTAAAATGCCCAATAAACAAATGAAGAAATGCTCGTCATCTTTGTCCATAAAGGAAATGCAAATCAAAGCAACACTAAATTCCACCTCACCCATTAGAATGGCCATCATCAAGAAAACTAACAAAAACAGATGCTGTTGAAGATGTGGCCAAAAGGGAACCTTATTACACTGTTGGTAGGTATGTAAGTTTGTTCAGCAGTAAGTAAGTAAGTTCAGCAATATAGAGGTTCCTTAAAAAACTAAACCTAGAACTTCCCTATAACCCAACAATTCATCCTCTGGACATTTATCCTAAAAATCACAAACCAGGTTACAGTAAAGTGACCAGCACAACCATCTTCATTGTAGCACATTTTAACATAGTCAAGATATGGAATCAGCCCAGATGCTGCTCAATGGATGAATAGATGGAGAAAATGTGGTATATATACATAATGGACTTTTTTGTTTGTTTGTTTGTTTGTGGGGCCTGAACTCTGGGCCTGTACTCTGAACTCCGAACTCTGTCCTTCAGCTCTTCAGCTCAAGGCTAGCTAGCACTCTACCACTTGAGCCACAGCACCACTTCGGTTTTCTGGTGGTTAATTAGAGATAAGAGTCTCATGGATGCTCCTGCCTGGACTGGCTTTGAACTGTGATCCTGTGATCCTCAGCTCTCAACCTCCTGAATAGCTGGTTTACAGGCATGAACCACTGGTTCCTGGCCATAATGGACTTAATCCTCTATTAGAAAGAATAAGCTGGGTGCCAGTGGCTTCTCCTGAATCCTAGCTAATCAGGAGGCTGAGATCTGAGGATCATGGTTCAAAGCCAGCCCCAGCAGGAAACTATGTGAGACTCTTATCTCCAATAAATCACTAGAAAACTGGAAGTGGTTCTGTGGCTTAAGCAGTAGAGCACTCACCTTGAGCTGAAGAGTACAGGAAAGCAACCAGCCCAGAGTTCAAGCCCCACGACCGGAAAAAAAAAAGAAAGAAAGAGTAATATTTATCATTTGTAAGGAAAGGGAAAGACCGGGAAAAAGTTAGATTCAGTGAAGTCAAGTCCAGAAAGACAAAGGTTGCAGTTGTATCACTCATACATAGAAGCTTGAATAGGCCTACAAGTAAACACCTTTGGTGATATGCAAATGGTTACACATGAATTAATTGAAATATGGTAGATTTAAGGGAGAAATCAAATAGTGTAATTCCTTTGAAAGGCAAAGTCGACTCAACAAAATAAGCAGCAGGAAACTGGTCCTTACAAGAGGTAGGGTAGGGCCAAAAGGAGATGGGTAGACAAATGAAGAGCCGGGGTTGGGGGATGGGGAAAAATTCAGTTTAGAAATTCAATGTATATGCTACAAAAATAAGAAAGAGAGGGAAAAGTTAGGTCAGGAAAGGTGAGTAACAATATTGAACAGAGTGATTCTGATTCAGATGCATTGTATTCATAAACTGCCTTGTTAAATGGCGAGTCCTTTGTAATAACTACTTGAAGATAATAAAAATAAACTAATAAATAGTATTAATCATAGTGCTGGAGTCATAGGTCTCTGGCTTCTAAAACCTAGAATAATTTCTCTCTGGAACTCAGGAAGCTGTAAGCCTCTGCCAATCCTTCCCTCGGGCGGTGGACATCTAGGGCCGAGGACCACAAGCACTAGAAAAGCTTTTATTCACCTACTCATGATTTATATCTGAGCAAAGCCTCTATTCTTTCTATTTGCTTAGTTTTATTTTAATGAAAAAATGTGGGCATCTCAACATTCAAGTATTTGTTCAATGAACATTAATTGAAGACTAGCAATACCATGGGTGAGAAGAGAAGATGAAATGGGTAGAGAAGGAATCTAAAGATAGAGAACACCAGAATCTGCCCTCAAGGAACATGCATAAGGAAAGCTAAGCAGTGTACTAGGAAATCGGACAGCATGTGTTAGGTCACAAGCAATGTAGTTAAGATTAAGTCCTGCTATCCCCTAAGAATACAAGTAGGATGTTAACATGTTCATGGTTACACAAGCATGAGAAGAACATTATTTAGGGAGAAGTTTTTTAAAAAGCCAGTTTAGAGCCCCTCTTTACAGATTAGCCAAACTGGAAGGGTCTAATGCACCATGTTCAGAATAGAGACCCAGGCCAGTCAAATGAGACCGTGACTCAGTTGAGTATAATTACTTCCTGGGCCCTCAGTTTGATTCTTATTTCTTCTTTCTAGCCATTTTCATTTTTTAATGTTAAATACTTCAAAGAATCGAAGTAAAGGGTAATGTTTTAAACTGATTTTTTTTGTTGGTTTACTTTTTTAGTTTTGGGTCTTAAATCCAAGTCTCCTACTAAGTACAGTACCACAGATCTACAACCCAACTTTTATTTTTATTTGCTTTGTTTTAAATACACACAAGTTAGAGTACTTACTGTTCAGCTTGATAAGATGTAGAAGAAAACAAAGCAGATTTAAGAAAATGTGGATGCTTTAAATATAAGATTACAAGATAATAATGTTGCTATATTAGTCAACACACAAAATCTTAAATCTCCAAGGGTGTGTGTGTGTATGTGTGTGGATTTGCATAACCAATTTTCTAATTAGAGGAAATATCTTGAAGTGGGAAAGTATCATTTTCTAAATATGTATATACATATATATATATAAGTATGTATCTATTACACATAGAAGGGTCTAAGGATCATTGTTTTATTTTTAATTCTTTCAAGAGCTATTATATGTTCAGTGCAATATTTCCCCCAGATTATTGTTGTAAGGGTGTTGTGAAGAGAGTTAATCTCAAAGTTAATCCAGAAGGAGTCAGGGATGTTTTGGTCCAGCCAACATCATAAATCCGAACAAAAATTTACACATTTCCTGGGGAAATCTACCCTTCCCTCCTCCTGTTTCCTTTGATTTGTAACGTCCGAGTTAATTGTTCTTCTTTTTTTCTTTTTTAAAGAGCTTGCTCAGCATAGGCTTTTGATATTTCCTTGAAATCTAACCATCTTCCAAGCCAGATTTTAATAAGATCTCGACCCATAACCTTTCGTTTCAAAATTAGTTTTGGCAGGAAATCAAAGATATGGGAGTACCTATATTAAATATTGATTTTTTTAAAAAAAACAGACTTTCCTGTCTCTTGCCCTTTCTCCCCTTCTCTCCTCAAAAATTCAAGAAAGAAAGGGTTCAGAAAGGGGTTCAGGAAAGGGTTAATAGCCTTAAAAATCCATCTTAAAATTTTCCTTTTCGTTTATATTTATTTACTGTTCTCTCATTTCTAATAATATTGTTTGGGTAACAGTTCATCTCAAAAAATGCAAGTGTATAATAAAAGTCTTAATAAAGTCATTGACTTACAATGTTGACTGAAATGTTCTGTCAAGTCCAATCTAAAACAAAATGCAATTTAAAGAAATAGATTTGGAAAGCATGTTATATTTATTTTCTTTCAATTGAGTAGGCTAAATCTCAATTAAATTTTTATTTTTATTTCTCATTCCTTCTCTTTGCCCTGCAATTTCTTTTTGTGTTCTAGAGGATTATTATTGGAATTCTCAGAATTTTAGGTTTATGTTGAGAAATATAGCCAATATTCCTGCCATTAAAATGTTGAAAAAATAAGTCTGAAATTTACTATTGCTGTATTTACTTTTTGTAAAACATCTTAAACATAATATACCCAGTGCTGTGCCTGAAACTAATTGGCAATGTCCCATTAAATCATATTAAAATTAACATCGATTAATTGGATTAGAAATTCAGTGAGAATGACAGCTGCTAGTGCCTTTTACAGTTACTATGTTTCTCTACAATCCATATGGCAGAAATCACATAGTGCTTTCTTCTACTCTCATGGAAATAAACACTTGAGATAAAAAGGGTAGACTTTAATGTAATCAGCATTTTTCTCCCTTCCCCTCCTTTCTCTTTCTTCTTTTCATCTCTTTTCCTCTCCTCCCTTCCCTACCTTTCCCTTCAATTCCCTTTTCTCTTCTCCCTCTCTCTCTATGTATATATACATATATATATACTTTTTTTGTAAAAATAACTCTGTCTGTTTTCCTTTTCACAGGTTTTCTCCAGCCATATTTCTGTATCTGATTAGCATTGTTCCATCTTTATGGCTCCTGGAAATGCATCATGAGAACCAGGTACTTACTTCTTGGAAAGCAGGGAAATGGAATATTCAGCAATAAGTGACTTTAACAGTATGACTTAACTGATTTTAGAAATGCACTCATCTAATATCAAGAACTGAATAAATAAGAGGTTATCAGGAAAAGAATGTGATTCCACAATCTGTCAAAAATTTAAGAATCAATGAAAGCATCAATTCATTCAGACTTAAGAGTACATAGTTAATTAATCCTCTGTGTTAATTATCTTGTTCTAAGGTTATTTCCCTTTCCTACAACAGTGCTAGAATATAGAGGGAGTGAGGAGGTTTGGTTTTAACCTTTGTAAATTCAATGTGTTCCTGGGACATGTCAAGTATGAGCAGTTCTCAGTCATCTGACATTCTGTAAAATGGTGGAGCGCCATAAGCAAAAAATAAATAAATAAATAAATAAAAAATCTTAAGCAGGGTGAGGATGGCTCACACCTATAATCCTAGCTACTCAGGAGGCTGAGATCTGGGGATCACTGTTCAAAGCCAGCCAGAGCAGGAAAGTCTGTGAGACTCTTATCTCTAATTAACCACCAGAAAACCGAAGTGGCGCTGTGGCTCAAGCGATAGAGTACTCGTCTTGAGCTGAAGAGCTCAGGGACAGCGCCCAGGCCCAGAGTTCAAGCCCCACGACCAACGAAAAAGAAAAAAAAAATTCTTAATCTGTATGTTGCAGTGTAAATACAGCTTTGTATGGGGTGTTTTTAAATATGGGCTATTCAGATGATTGAAGATTCGCTTTTGGGGTCTCCTTGCTGTACTTGTGAATTAAGAATGGTATTATAGAGAAATGAAATTAAAGGAGAAGCATTTTAGAACACATGGGACATGGGAGGAAAGGTAAGCATAAATGTATCCGACCTTCCTGACCTGGGAAGAAACTGTCTCAGCTAAGGTCCTCATTTCTACAAAGAACTATTTTTTTTTGGGGGGGGGTGGGTCCGGTCGTGGGGCCTGAACGCTGTCCCTCAGCTCTTCAGCTCAAGGCCAGCGCTCTACCCCTTGAGCCACAGCACCACTTCCGGCTTTTTTTCTTTTTGCTTATGTAGTGCTGAGGAATCGAACTCAGGGCCTCAGGCATGCAAGGCAAAGGCTCTACCCCTGAGCCACCTTCCCAGCCCTACAAAGAACTTATTATTATTGAGCTGTTTCCCACATGGACATTTCAAGTTAGCACGCTTTAGGCTGGGTTAAACCACTGTTTGCTGGTGATGCTCCTATACAACTCTGGGAGGCCATTTAAGAAAAGAGTTCATCAGATTCCACGAGGACTCCATGGTTCGAGGTACACAATGATGGTACAGAAGAGATCTTTACTTACTATATAGTCTTTGTTTCTTTCTTTATTAAATGCTTTCAACAAGAGTTGTGAGAATCTGACCATAAATAGATCACTTTACTGTATTTGGCCATTTTATAGCATAGCTAAATTTGTGGTATAAACAGCCAAACTTTATCAGGAAATGCTTACTCCCAAATTTAGAAACAGATGGGAATTTAGCACTATGGGCTTTTTATTAAACAACCCCCAAGCAAGTACCAACCATGTACCCATGAAGAAAACACTTTCACCACAAAATCTCATAGTCGTAGGCTGTGTGTGTTTGCAGTGAGTATTATTTTATCACTGCAGATTGGTTTATTCAAGTTCTTACAGCTTTTTAAAAAGTACCACGAGGAGTTAAGGAACTATATGGAAATAAGCTCTGGTGATTTAAATCAACAATTTTCCTCTGCACATCCAATTCCCTGACATGCCTCTCTTCCACAAAAACAATTCATTTCCCCAAATGCTTTTATACTATAAATGTATCTTACAGTTAATTGATATACAGGTCAAACTCCATTACAACAAATAGCACTCAATGAAAAAAGCTCTTTTAACCAAAAAAAAAAGTTTAAAAAAGATTTTGGAGCCCCAGGCAGTACCTCTCTAATTTTCTTACTAGAGAAGAAATTGAACCTTTACTAGTAATGGATTTGACACTGAAAATTAAAATGAATGCCCAGAGATTAAAATGGCAGGGTGAACAGAGATAGAAGTAGATAAAGTAAGACAAAAATGTATTGAGGTTATATTTAATAAAATGAGAAATGGCAGAATAAAGGGACATACAGAAATTCTCTCCATTCACTCATTTAGGAAATTTCAGCTGTAATAATCACTTTAGTACCCCATATTTGAAGGCATTATCAAATATATTTTACCATTTATAGACCCTATGACTTCGTAAGGTAGGACTACTGGTACATAAAGTTCTATTTTGTAGAAGAAGACCTTGAGGCTCAAAAAGGTTAAGTAATTTTCTTAAGGCCACATAGCCAATCAGTAGCAATTCTGGGGATTAGAATCTAATGGACATTTAGTGCACTAAGCCATATTAACTTTTGCAATATATTTTAGAGGTTTTGCCTCAAAATGATCTGAGTTTTCCAAGATGGAAAAGAGTTAATCTTTTACATATTTTCCATTTACTCTACATCCCAAATATACTAACCTATTACTTGGCATTATGAAAACAGCCTAACCTATTTCATGAAGATATTTCTTCTAGATGATCAATATGCTACGTGTATTCTTGAATCTGTTGAGTCTACATGCTATGGCTATATCATTGTGACCTTAAGTATTAGTGGTGTGTGTAGACTGGATTACAAGGTGGCTTGTGTGTTTATTGTTTTTGAGTGGTGCTAGGGATTGAAACCAAGGCTTTCTGCATACTAGCCAAGTGCTGTACCACACAGTTACATGCCCAGCCCTATTAGTAAGATCTGTTTATGAAATATCACAATTGAAGTAATGGAACCGTTTTGGTCTCAATGAGGGTCATGGTCTATTTCAATTCAAAGAGTACTTTTTAAGCTATTCAAAGTTTTAAAGACATAGCTCAGAGAAGAAGGCCACCTGTTGGTACCAAACTCATCTTCACAAAATCACCCATACAATGGTAAATATAAACAATGTAACTATGAAACAAAATAATCATGCTAAGCTTAATGAATCAAATCACTTGCTCATTTTAGTCTTAACATAGCTGCTACTTAAAAAAGTATCCTCAATCTATAACAGCATGACAAGAATAGAAAAGGCGCAGATAAGTATTAATATCACAATATGGACTACAATGCTGTTTATTCTATATTAACTCATATTGCACAAAAGAATGACATAAAATATCTTCTTGGCAGATTTTACTTTCTACTTTTTCTTTTTAAGGAAAATGTAGAATGATCAGTGAAATGTTCAGCATAATATAGCTTTAGCTTATTCCCATTTAATAAATTCTTAAATACCAAGGTATTAATGAAATTTTTAGTGATAACATTTCTAAATCCATAACAAGGTTACCATTTTCAGTATGTGATACATTTTCATACTCATGAAGAAGTGGCTAAATTTTAACCATTCTGTTCTTAGTCACAAAACTAGTCTGTAATGAGGATTCATGTTAAATATTTAATTGTTTTATATCCAATATAATTCCCTGTAACCCTAGGTGTGCACAACATGGGCACACACTCTATACCTAACCCCACAGTATGAACTCTGGCTGTGCTTTTTGCTTTAGAGATTATGTCTGTGGTTCTTTAAAAATATTCTTTTAGTACTGGTTACTTGTGTGATAAGTAGAAAAATATATCTTCTTGGAAGATTTTCTTTTCTACTTTTCAAAGTAACACATAGAATAATTAGTGAAATAACCAGCATAAAGAAGAGAAAAGGACGAGAAAAGAAAAAAAACTTTTTATAGCTTTAACATTTTTTTCTTTTTAATACTTTCTCTATAGACAAATGTGTGATTATAAAAGCATAATGGTGACTGTGGGGGTGGTATATATGTGTGTGTGTTTCACAAATATATTAGCACTGCAGATGTTAGAAAAAAATCTCCAACCTTAAAAAAAAGCCAGCTTGTAAAATATGCATTGGCTGCAACATTTTCTGGTGCTGTCTCTTCTCTAATATATTTTCTCATGCCCTTACTCTATCTACAAAGGACACGGGTCCTTTGCAGAAATTCACATGAAAAAGTAAAGAAAGAAGAAGGAAAAACATGTCATTTCTTTTAGGTCAATTGTAGAATTTTCCATAAACCTAAATTGACTTCTAGACTGACATTCAAATATACAGAGCACGAACATGCTAATTTTTTTTGCTTGTTATAATACATGACAGGCAAGATTGAAAGTAATTGGGTTATTCATTTAAGCAGAATGCTATTTTAAGAAGCACTCATAAAATAAATGCTTTGACCAGGAATATACATGTTGTGCTGTTGTCATTGTTAGTTTGTATTATACTTTTTACAGGACTCAGAAAAAGAACTTTGGTTACCATTCTTAAGTTCTACAGCCCTGCCCTGAGATAGCTCAGAACATATACATCCTCACAGGCCTGTGGAAAAATTAGAGATGTATAGTTAGCACTTATCACATTGAATATAAAAAAGTTTTCTGTCTCATATTCTAATCTTTGGAAATGCTAATGCATCCCATATCAGCTTTATATATGTGCTCATAATCTCTTGGAAACATGCAAGCCATTTTTAACTCTATTTCTTTGTGATGCTTTTTTTTTTTTACATTGCTCCCTCCACAATTCTTAGCATTGCAATGTTCAGTCTGAAGGAATGTCACAGAACATGAGCAGGAAAGAAGACTTCAATCAAACCCGGAAACCAAGTGAACATATCCATGGAGTGGATGATATCATTGAAACGGTGAGGGGTTTCCCACCATTCACCATATCATCTAGCAGGTGGTAGAACTACTTAGGAGAACACATTATCCATTTATCAGATTATTCTCCCATAAGGAAATTTACAAATTAGTTGTTTGGCTCAGGAATTCAAAAATATGATCATTGTTAAACACTTTTTGCTTGCCAGATAGGTATATGTAAATATATTACATGGATCTTAAATATATGTAAGCAACATTTAATTCATATAATATTTGTTTGGAGATTCATATAATGAAATTTACATTTCAATATTTTAATTATAAAATTCATTTATTTATCTGTTCTAATTATCTGTGTGTATATTTATATACATACAAGTGTATTCTACCTACATAACAATGTTGTTTGAATTTACATGTTTCTTGATGACATATAGCATGAAACATTTTCTTATATGATACTTACCATCTAGATACCTTTCTGAAAGGGCCATCTGTTCAGATCTTTGTTGTAGAATGTGTATATCGAAAGTTAAACCTAGGGCCTTGAACATTCTAAACACATGTTTTTCCACTGAGCAATACTTCCCAAACATAGACCCTTTTTAAAAGCCATGTTATTTTCTTACTGTTGAGTTTTTTGGTTCCTAATATGTTTTTTTACTCCACAAACATAAAAACTTTTTAAAAGTCACATTATTTTCTTGCTGTTGATATTTTTTAGTTCCTTATATGTTTTTGACATCCGTCCTTTATCAAATGTGTCATTTGCAATTTTTTCCCCAAGTCTGTGACTTAGCTTTTATTCTCTTTCACAGTCTTTTGCAGAACAGAAACATTTGGTTTTAATGAAGTCCAAATTATGATTCATGTGTTTCTCAGATAGTTTCTTGGATATAGTGTATAGAAAGTTTTTGCCCTATACAAAGCCATGTTGGTTCTCTCTCATCTTCCAAAACTTTATCTTTGTATCTATGTTCTACTTTGGGTTGATTTTTATGAAGAGTGTAAGCTCTGTGTCTAGATTTTTTTCTCACTTTGCTAATCAGTGGAAAATCACTTGCAGTTTTATGGGAGGTTATTTCTACGCTTTCTGTTCTGTTCCATCAATCTATTTGTCTACTCTTTCATATAGACCATGCTGCAGTGATAACTGTAGTCTTGCAGTCAGGTAGAACCAGCTTGCTACATACAAATATTAGAGACCACTTTTCAATTTATACCAGATACTCTGGTATAAATCAGATACAGTATCTGGTATATACCAGAAACTCTGGTATATACCAGAAACTCTGGTATTAATCAGATACTCTGATTAAGGTTATATTAAATCTATAGAACAAGCTAGGAATAACCGAAATCAGGGCAACTTTTAATGTTCCTATTTCTAAACAGAAACTATTTCCCTAGTTATTTGTTGATTTAGTTCTTCAGCATTTGTAATTTTCTTCATATTGAATGTATAAACATACACAAATGTGTATATGTGTTTTTGTTCCAACATGTTTGTTAAAGTTATACCCAATATTGCTAATACAAATGTTACTGTGTTTCTAATATAAAATTCGACTTCTTCACTCATATATAAATAAAGAAAAAGTAACCTCTTTATTCTTTAACTTTATTCTATAACTTTGATTATTAGTTCAGCAAGTATTTTTTGTCAATTCTTTAGGATTTTCTGTTCAATGACGTTATCTGTGAACAAAGTTTGCCTTATTTTTCGTTCCTTTCTAGTCCTTTGGTTACTTTTTCTTTTCTTATTGAACAGGCTAGGACATCTACTTTATTAAACTTTGAAGCATTTCTACATGACATAGAAAAGATTTTTAGCCAAATGAGAATATTTTCCTTTTTGTTCACATGTCTGATATTTGGCAGTGGGGTAAAGGGAAAAACTGAAGGCAGAGTCCTCTCAATGAAACATGTTTTCAAGAAGTTATGCTATTGATTCTCTGATATAGAGGAACTTTAGGTACCAATTCAATTCTTTTTTTTATTGTGAAAATACCATACAGAGGGGTTACAATTACATGGGCAAGGTAATCAGTACATTTCTTATTAAGCATTGTTGCCTCCTCCTTTGTTTCCCCTTCCCATCCCTTCCCATCTCCCCACCCCCATACCAATTCACTTCTAAGCACAGCTTATCTATGTCACTTCGACGGAATTACTTAGTCTCTGTGTCCCTCATTTTTCATCAGAAAATAGAATATTTATCCTGCTAAGGTGCTTTCTTTGTGAATTAAATAAGATCTATATGAGGTTTCATCAAAAATATAAAAAGTATGCACATCAGATTAACATCCTGGTTTTCTTTTATTCTTTCATGTACTTGTGTATTAGATATTATCAAGTGATCAAGAAGGGTAAATGATTTTTTATAAGCATTGTTAAGTCATTTGCATAAATGAGTTGGAATCATTGTCATAATCTCTTCTGATCTAAGACCTTGTAGTTTTTAAAAGTTGTAGCTTAGAGGGACAGTAGTATTCCTTGAAACATATGTAGATGGTAAATTGGAAAGAAATGCCATTCAACACATATTACTGGGATGTAGAATTTTTCTCAAAGTCTAAGAATAGGGGCAGCATAAAATTTGCTCATTGACTTATGTATAGCTGAATATGTTAACAATTCAGAATAACAATAACAACTTTATAATTATTCTCTTTCTTTAGGCAAATAAATATTAATTTTTCTGGTAGGATATAATAGAGTTTTAAGGCAACAATAAGCAAAAGGAAGATTGTAGCCTGGTTAAAGTAATCTTGCCAGGTTAATAAATCCAGATTCAAAAACCTGAACAAGAAACTGTAAGATTCTTTTTGTTATTTTGTTATTAAATGATGTAAAATCCTGGTATATATTGTACTTTGTTATAGAGTATTATAAAGTAAGTAACAATTTCCAAAAATTACACAATTGCCTTTTTAAGTATCATTTGCCATTATGGTGCAACTGAAAGGATTAAATTGCTTCCTTGCTAAATTAAATCCCATTTTAGTGACCAGATTAGATGTTTGAGTTTTTATTTTGGTGCTTAATAGCTGAAAGGAATGTTACTGTCATTAGTTGCTAAAGAAAAAATCCTAAAAACATTTACAAATCACACTCTTGACTGAAAACCACAATAAAGAAAATCTCTCCGCATTAGCGTGTAGCTCCTAATCACTTCTCGGTGTGTGACATTTCTGTTGAACAGGCTAGACTCTTTGTAAATAACTTATCTAGAGTATGTGAGACAGTCTGGACCTTGGGCCTCCATCAGACTTTCCTGCTAATGTTGATCATTGGAAGATGGCTTTTACCCATTGGAGGTACCATCACTCGAGACCAACTCTCCGAACTGCTCCTCATGTTTGTGGGAACAGCAGCTGACATCTTGGAATTTACCACTGAGACTCTGAAAGAAAATAATGTGAGGTAAGCCCTGCGAAGAAAATATCTTTTCAAGGTCAGAGTCATGCATTTCTTTGTTTGCTTTTCATACTTGGCAAGAATGGGAATTTTTAGTATATCATATGTTCAACATTAGGGTATTGGAATTTGCTGTCCTTTAGATACACACTAGGATCCAACACAGCCTATAAATGTATGTATGTTCATATTTCTCTCTATATGTGTGTACATATGATGAATATATATCTTTATATATATGAGATTTTGAGGTTTCTACCAGACAAAGGAATATATGATATCCCCTGTAGGCAAGAACAGGTAAGTTCTGACTATTGGCATGACCATAAGTAGGAAGGATCTTGGTTATTGACAAAACTTTTAGAGTGGTACCTCTATCTAGTACACTTTTCATATTCCCATGTGTAAGGAGCATGGTCAATTGTGAAATCTGAAAAAACAAAAACAACAAAATTCTAGAGCATAGCTTAGCTATGATTCCAAAAGACATGGAGAAATCATTCCTTCCTCTAGTTGGAGAATTTGCATTCCCTTGTGTGAATGGTGTGTGGGGCAGATGAAGTTTTATTGTTCTAAATTTTATTTTTAGTCAGTTTTGTTCAAAGCGCCCAAAGGCTTTCTGGTGTAGATGCCTATAAATTAAAACTTATTGAGTTGGTACTTTTATTTTTGCCACAAGCAAATAAACTCAGAATCCATGATCACATCTGTTTATGGAACTACTTTCTTCCCATTAGGGATTTAAGTCTCAGTGCCTGAATGTACTTTAAGCTTGGGTTGTTTGGCACTATGCTATAAAAATAAATTGGAATGAGGCTGGCTTTTAATGCTGCAGTTTACTTTATGTTGCGCCTCTCAAATAACAAAACATAAAGCTGAGCAAAACAGACTAACTTATTGAGTAAACTTAATATCTCAATTATGGTACAAATTATATTTATAACCATGGGCTATCTTTACAAAAATCACTTCTTGCTTTGTTCATACCAATTTTTCTTTTAGCTTATTCAGTTGACATATTATTTTAAAAAGAATCTGATCTGATGGGGACTGTTATTTTCAAAATGTTTTACAAAAGTGAAACAATTTTGTAGTTTTAATGTCTTAGAATTGTCTAGTGTCTTACATTGCATGTTTCTAAACACTTGTAAGAAATTTTAGATACGGTGCAATTATAGGAAAAATGTGAAGAAATCATGCAAGGGCACATAACATACTAGATGTCTATAGTGTTAGGGATATGGAAATATAAATAAAACCTACCTAGGATTAAATACATGCATGCTAAATACCTAAGAAGGAAGTAATTGTAGCATGGTAAAGAAGGTATTGAAAAAATGTATTTGTTTTCCAAAGAATTCTATTATAGGTTGAGAATATAATTTAAATTCTTTTTGGTTTTTTTTGCCAGTCCTAGGGCTTGAACTCAGGGCCTGGGCACTGTCCTTGAGATTTTTTTTTTTCTCAAGGCCAACACTCTACCACTTGAGACACAGCACCACTTCTGGCTGGGTTTTTCTGTTTATATGGTACTGAGGAATTGAACCCATGGCTTCATGCATGCTAGGCAAGCAATCTACCACTATGCCACATTCCCATGCCCTATTTCAATATTTTTAAGTTGATAGACCCGCGTTATAATATGACCTACTCTACTCATGCTTAACAAGAATGCATATTTACTTGTTCTCACTTTGTCATTGGTTAATACTAACTTGATTTCAAGAAGGCATAACAATGTTACTCTATTTGAATGTAGCTCCATGCCTCATTTGATTTGTGGCTCCTAGCTCCATTTTACCCATCCTTTATGCTACAATGTTTACTCATGGATTATAAACTATTTTTATGATATTAACCTCATAGTATGCTTTGATAACTATTGTTCATTACAACTTTTTGATTTTTAGCGTTTAAAAGAAGAAAATACTTATATGGCTTTGCAACATATTTACATGTTTTTTGTTTACTCATGCTTACCATTTTATTGTTATTCATTTTTTCATGGTGATTAACTTTACTGGCTTATGTGATTCCTTCTCTTTCTAAAAACTTCAAGTAGTTCTTTTCATCAGACAAATATGCTACCAAGAAACCTGTCTTTCTTTGTCTGGAAATATGTTTATTTAGCTGTCATGTCTGAAGAATAGTTTTGTTGGATATATAATTCTTGGTTTGAAGGCTTGACAGGTTTGAGTTTTCTTTTAGTATTCACACATACAAACATGCACATACAAACCATTCCATTGCCTTCTGTCCTTCATGTTTCTTATCAGATGTTAGTCATTATTTGTTGTTCCATTGTACCCCTGTATATAATGAATCAAGTTATTCTTTCTGTTTTGGAGATTTCTTTTTCTCAACATAGACTAATTTGTACTGTGACTGGGGTGGATTTCTTTGCTTTTAGCCTTTCTAAGGGTTTTATTGGGCTTGGATCTGTAAATTATGCTTTTTATGTCAGAAACTTTATCCACTATTTCTCTAAATACTTTTATCTGCTTTGTCTTCTCTTCTTCCAAGGCTTCTATTATTAATGTGTAAGTTTCATCATGTGCAAAAGGTCTGTTATTGCTACTCTGAACTTTTTTTTCCTGAGCAGAGATCATTTATTTGGAAAAAAAAGACTTCCATAGGGTTTCTGATAATCATTGTATTTGTCTGGCTACACAAAGGAAACTCCTGGTGTTTACATTGTGTTTTCTTTTTCATTATTTTGCTTGATGTTATATTTCCTTCAGGATAGGATAACAACACTCTTTTTTCCTTTTTCTCTCTCTTGTTATATTTTATTTTCTTATTATATTTATGAAATGATTTGTTTTAAAAGTAGCTTAATTATATTCAGTGAATATTTCTTCTTATACTTCCCAAAGGAAATAGTTGAGCAAATTGGCAAAATAGAGCTTTTATTTTGATTGTTTTTTACTTGCCAGTTTGAATATAATGATTTACCACATGCTAGTCATTTATCCTCTTGGTTTTCCAAGAAGAAAAGTGATCTATAAAAGGGCATAATTGCACTTCTTATGGGTTTAAGTCCATTGTTTCCCATGCTTCTTGGGTGACTTGTTGAAGCTGGATTATACATATGGGCTAGTGGTCGATAAATCCATCCCAGGTTTCTTTTCATAAATCTTCACTGATTACAATTTGAGCAGAGTGATTTATTTACATTCTTGAGTGATTTCACTGTTTAATCTTATAATCCATATTTGCCAGCTTACAATTTTTCAGACTGCTCAAAGTTATTTTTGAAACTTTTATCAATTTTTCCCAATATCCACATTCTTTCATCTTTTGTATGTATGTTTGTTTTTGTGTGTATCATATAAAAATACATTCATTATATATTTATATATTATATGTTGTCTAGTTAGATTTGAGCATATTAGAGCTAGGAGCACGCTGAAATAATGATGGTAATAATAGTTAATATGCTAATGAATCATACTTTTGAGTAATGTTTATCACTTGATATGTGTGTAAAGACTTTAGGTGCATGGGTTGTTTAGGCCTAATATTAACACTGAGAGTCAGATGCTGTCATTCTATCAATATCATTTTATTAGCAAAAATGTGAGGAGGTCTCAAAATTAAATACATTTTGAAAAGTTTATTTTCAAAGTATGGCTCTCCCATATTTAGCTTGTGTAAAGTGCTATTTCAAAGGAGATCTTAACATGTTAAATGTAGTAAAATATACTTAAATTCTCTTCTAAGATCCGATAGCTATTGCTATTGTCATCTTCACAATACAGATGAATAATCTGAAGCATGCTGATTGATGCTAAACTACTTGGTCATACTGATGTAGCTGATAAGTGATCACTGTGGGATTAGAGCACTGGATCCTATTGCACTATAGAGAGAGGTAATTGACAATTCATTTCTGATCACTTGGAGCCAGAACTGTTGACCTATTTCCATAGCTGTTTCTGGGAAATACCATGTCTGCCGTCCTGTCCCATTCTAACTTGGTAATTCATTCACATCTTTTGGAATTCTGATTGTGTCTTCCAGGGTGCTGGTTTTCTATCCAAGCTCCATCTTATATGTATGCATGGGCACAGCCTTCCATCAGTACTGGAGATGAAGTCACTGATGAAATGCGAAGTAGATTGGAATCAGAGATAGAGCCTATAGCAATTCATTATAGGGCCCCCTTTGGGAAGTCATTTACAGTTTGAAATCTATCTAACAAAAATGGCTTCAGTGGTTCATGTTTATAATCCAAGCTATTCAGAAGATTGAAATCTGGTCATCAAGGCTTGATGCCAATTCTAGCATATAAATCCATTAACTCATGTCCGATTAACTAGCAAAACACAGGAAGTAGAGGTATGGCTCAATTGGTAAAGTGCCAGCCTTGAGTGAGTAAGCCAAAGAAGAGTGCAATATCCTGAGTTCCAGTTTCAGGTTACAAAAAAAATTCCACCAAACTATACTCACATATAAAATATTGTTTAAAATTTTACTAATAAGGACACCATGGGACATGCTTTACAGGGAGTGATTTTAAATCCAAATGTCTATTATTAATTTATATCGTATCACCTTCTTGGTAATTCTGTCTCTAAAACACAAGGAAAAATAAACTTATTTGAGTACAATTGTTCTTAGAGAACCTGTACTCATTCTTAGTAATTACTGTCTTCACCTATAAGGGCTCGCAGAAATCCTTTGAGAACCACTTATGTAATCTAACTAAGCATTAATAGTAACATACTTCTTGTACTTTAAGATATATTTCTGCTTCTTTTTGAAAGCTGAGACTTCAGTTTTTCTGTCATCAGCCTGTCTCTACTATTAACTCCCAAGATAGATAGTGACGGCTTAGAAATCTCATTTACAAATTCTCTCAGAGTTCTGAGATTTAATTTTTCAAGATCCCAACACTTGAAGCATCCATAGATATCCCTTTCAATCATTCCATTTAGTTTGCTTTCAATTACTCTTCTCTGATAATGTTCTAGCCCTCTCCAATCAAAAGTCCCTCTTGACAGATGGAAACAAAATCTGTTGTTATAACAATGACTGTAAATTGGTAACTTCCTTTGTGTTTCTGATAGAAATAAATGTGACTTTGGAACTTCTTTGCTATCCTTTGCCTTTCAGTCACCTTAATTCTTTCTGACTTTAGTCTTCAAAAGACTTCAGTCTCCTAAATCTGTGATATTTATGAAGTTTCCCAGGCATAGGCCTATCTTTTGTATGTTCATTCCATCTGCCTGCAAATATATGTTGAATGCCAACTGTTTTCCAGGCACCAGTTTAGGCACAGAAAAAATTAAATGGTAACTCAAACATGCCTATTCCTGGCCTACCAGCTATGTTCATGGTGTGTATCTTTTTAATGGAATTTCTCTCTCCACATTTCCCTACCTATGGATGGTCTTTATCATTCTGAGCTTTTAAAATTTGTGCATCATCTTGTCTCTAGGCAATATCTTTTCAATCATACTTTTGGAATTTTGGGAGAACTATGAAATTCTTAGAATCAGGCCTCTGAATATCAATGTTGACATCCAACTTTCCCATCTTAGCATTTTTCTCACATACGGTTTCCATGAAAAATTAAAGATGACAATATGAGATTAAGCTGCTTTGTCATAGTTCATGCTTATTCTGTGTTCTTAAGCCTCAGATATTTGTTTTACCTCTTTCTCATCCATCATTTCATCCACTGGTTTCTTCACAAATTTATTGTCACCAATATATTTTGTCAATTCACAAGAGGTTTGTTAATAAGATGCCTTGCCATGAGTGAGATTTCCCTGTTGTGCATATGATAATATTTTTTATTACTAACTGAAAAATTTGTTACATTCTAGGAATAATCCTGGATTGGTCTGTGCTATCCTCCTTATATGGACTTGGAGTATGTTGCAATTTCCCCTTGACCTGGCAGGTAAATATATTTGTTATTGTCACAAAGAAATAGAAATTACAATCCTTGATTAGAAATAACATCAAAGCTAAGAAGAAATCGAGAAGGTGGCCATTCTGGTATCCTAATGTTCCTGTTTGGCTTTAGAAGTTAATTGAAACTCTAGATGTGTATGAGCTTCAAACACTTGAATGGATAATCACAGTTTGGTTTTTTGTTGGTTGTGAGGTTTGAACATAAGTACTTGTACTTGCTAGGAGAGAGCTCAATCATTTGAACCACACCTCCAACCATGCTTTTGCCTGGTTATTTTGGAGGTAGAATCTTGTGGTCTTTTCTGTGAGAGTTGGCCTAATCATGTTGTTTTATATTCACTTAAAACAATGGCAATAACTTATGTTCTATAAGACTTCCTGAAAAGTAGATAAGATATCTATGTCTCAGTTTTTCCTCCTGAAAAGAATGATAATCATAGCATCTTGGGTTAACGGTTCTTTTGCTGATTCAGCAAGATATAGTTTATAAAATACTTGTCAAGGTTCTTGCATCCAAATGTTATCAATTGACATTTACAAAGGATCATTTTTCACTCCTTTGTCAGATCCATGTGTCATAGCAATTTCAAGACTATCTATGGAAAGCTAAATTTTTTTCCTCAGTGGTGGCCGTTTGGTCTTAATTTAATGAAGATATAAATCTTTAGAATTTTACAAGGAGAAATAAACTGTTTGCTGGGCATTTCTTAAGAAAGATGATCTACAGCTGCATTTTCCAAAATGGTACCCACATGTGTCTCTTGAAATTTCATTGAGACTAAAGGGTCAGTTCCTCAGTCATACTAGCCACATTCCAAGTGTTGACTTGTCACATATGGCAACCACATTGGCTAGATAGATACGTAAAATATTTTTTTTATCATCACAAGAAGTTCAATTGAACTGTATTAACCAGAGTGCTTAACAATAAGTTTGTCTTATCCTGGAATTTTGGCTTGGGAATTCTCCAAATCTTGATTTGGTAATTCTCCATTAGTCATCCAGTAAAATATTAGCTCATCTGCTGCCCTACTGAGAGAATAGTAGGTGCCATCACTCACATTGAGCAATATGCTTGGTGGACTCTTGGGGAGGCTTACTTGACCCTGACTTCTTTGGAAAGTTACTGATTTTATGCTAGTGTTTCCTTTGTCATTGCCTCATTTTTTTCTCATATCTTGTGGTTTATAGCCTTGCTTAGAAATTTTTTATTTAAGAAAGAATTTTGTAAACTTTCAGAGGTGATAATGTTATGCAGCTGTTTGAAAAACAAAGACCAAATGTTACTTCTGACTAAATGACTATTGTATTTTCCAACAAACAGTACATTATGTTCACCCATATCAAAGTACCTTCATAATATTTGCAGGCTCCAGTAGACGAAAGCATTCTTTGTTTGAAAACTCCAAGTGGAAGGCTCCATTATTCTAAAAGGATTATTTTCTGCCCCTGACCCTGAATTTGAATTTACAGTTTAGAAATTTAAAAAAAAGTTCATCTGTTGATTGAATTTCCTCTTATTCAACCGGAAAATCATTAATTATAACTAGTCTTTCTTGTAAATCATGAAACAAAAGCATAAGAAATTAAGTAAAAATGAAATCACATGTCATTTATTTGAGCTCCTTCCCTATCTTTAGAAAGTGTGTTTAGCAAGAAGTAAAGTTGAATATGCATATAAACAGTTAACTTTTCTCAACAAAGTTTATTTAAATGTATGAGTGGGTCAACTAGTAGATAGATAAAACTGGAAAATAAGTAAATAGGCAAATCTGGAAGAGCACATCTGGAATGATCTGAGTCATGACTTTGGTCCATTACCACATGTATCAATCAAGCAAGTCACTCATTATAACTGAAAGAGCATGATAGAAGGCAGGTGGGTATTTTACTGGAAACGAAAGGAATGAATGAGTAGACAAATATGGGTATCCCAGTTTTCAAAAGGAACAAATGGAGGCCCCAGAAGATTAACTAAATTGACCAACATCTCACTACAAGAAAAAAGGCAGCCAGTCTCTCCGACTTGAAGTCCTCAGTTCACATCTCAGTGGCCTTCCATCAGGACGACTGAATCAGACAGTTCTCTGCTTTGTTCTCTCTAGTCTGCTTAATTAGGCCTTCCACAGAATGAGAACTAGAATTAATATTAATGATTTGTTTTAAGTTGATGGAAATCAGTTAATTTGGTTTGCAGAGTTAGAGGGGGCTTCTTGTTTTTTGTTGTTCTTCTTTTAAAATCTATTCTATATCAAAATAAATTCCCATCATTTATAAGTAGAACATTCGTTGGTAGTGATATATCCAGTTTCATCCAACTTGGATTTCTGCATTTCAGAGAGGTAATGTGATGCCTTGTTTCTTGCATTTGCAGTACAGCATGCAGCGTGCCCTTCATCTGCGAGTGCTAGGAGATTCCCCATTCTGTTTTTTTGCCTGTACAGTGCGGATTTGTGGAACATTGGCATCAGCGTCTTTATACAAGATGGCCCCTTTCTGGTTGTGCGTCTCATACTGATGATCTATTTCCAAGTGATAAATCATATGCTCGTGTTCTTTGCTGTGAAGAATTCCCTTGTGGTGGTGTTGCATATCTACCGACTGGTGGCGCTGGCGCTGGCAGCCCGCGCTTCCTTGCAAGATCATTCCCAGGGCCCCAAAACAGAGCGCAGCAGACAGGCTCAATCTTCAGAGGGTGAGCGCAGGGGCTGGGAGGGCGAGGCAAGGGAAGGTCTGTCCCTTCCTTTGCAGACCTCACCAGTGACATCTGACTCCCATTCCTCACCCTAAGTACTTATTCCAACCAGCCTTCAAATAGGTTTGGCCTTCTGCTCCTTCTTTGGATACCGCTGTCTCTCTCTTTCCCTTTTCCTTTCCTTTCCTGTCCTTCCCTGCCCTGCCCTTCTCCTCTCTCCACCAATCTTAGTTTATAACCATTTTTCAAAGCAATGGCAAAAGTGATCTTAAACCCCAAATCAAGGAATTGAATGGAAGGAACTTTGATTAGTGGCTATGACATCAACTTAATGGGATGGCATCAGATATACTTGTTCAACGACTAAGTGATTTGTTGGAATTGAACCATTTGAAAAACTATGGATAAGGTTACCTTGCTATGCCCTGGAAAGATTCGGGACATACTGTTGTGTTGATTACCTGCGAATATAGAAGCTTTGAACGTTGGGTCCACTGTCGATCTTTCCTGGAATGTCTCTTGGACATCGAAAATGTACATCCAGTGAATGCAGAATGCATGAGTGAGAAGTGCCTTGAAAATTACCTCACCTGTCAGCTAGAAAGTGGTGGAAATCTCTGCCCAGCTTCCTATCACAGAGAAACTGATTCCATCCCTGCACAGGCCTACCCAGGAAAATCATTTTTCTGGGCTGGTGTGGAATTCTGTCATGGCACACATATGTTGTTACAGAAATTTCATTGCTTTTTGGCTTGGGTACTACAAAATTCACAGCAAGGCATTTCAGGTATATATCTCCTGGTTGCAAGTTAGGAAATACTGGTAAAATGTAAGCACGGTCACAGTTTCCAGCCTCAGTGTGACTTGCTGGGTCATCGGGTTTTTGCTGAATCCCACTTTGAAAGTGTTCTGCCTTGCCAAATGCAATGACATGAACCGATGTGAGAAGCCCAGAAGCAGCAAATAAAGGACTTCAGGATGTTTAAGTGTTACCATGGTTTCTGGGGTCCGCCAACAAAACATGGCGGCAGTTGGTCCAACTTCCCCTAACTGCTGGAGCCATGCTTGGCACTCGGGAACTCCGGGGTGGTATGGGGGTGGGGATGGAGATGGCAGAGCCCCATCCAGGGCGCTGATGATGAGCTGTATCACGTGTCACAGCAGAGCTAGAATCAAAGCATTTGCTCTGCTGCTGAATTAAGGCCTCAGTTCCCATTGTTGTTAACACAGCCAATCGCTATCTTCATGCTCCCTACTTTCTGAATGGAGGAGGTCTTTCAGAACACTTTAAAGTGAGTTTTGTTTTTAAATGTAGATTATAAACATATAGTTGGTTGCATAGCAGTAATTACAAGGGGCAGAGAGCTCCGGAATTGTTATTTTGTGTTCAATGCATCATTGCTCTTATATCAGAGTGCTCAGGAATTCAGTGGGATCTTTCTTCCATTCTTTCTCTCTCTCTCTCTCTCTCTTTCTTCTTTTTCCTTATTTTTCTATAAAACAAACTCTTTTATTAGATTCATTAATTGTAATAGATTTTGCTGTTATAATTCCATAGGTGCATGCAGTATACTTAGAACAAGTTCATCCTTTCTATTATATTTCTTAGTCCCTCCTTCTACATTTTAAAAATAGTGTTTGGTGAGTTTCATTATACTGTACACAACACACACACACACACACACACACACACATACACACACACTTTGATTCTCTTCACCCCTCAGAATCATCTCCTTTACCTTTCCCTCAAACCCTTCCTCCCCACAAAGTCTCTTTCTTTCTTCTTCTTTTTTTGTTTTGTCGGTCATGGGGCTTGAACTCTGGGCTTGGTCACTGTCCCTGCACTCTTCAGCTCAAGGTGAGCGCTCTACCACTTGAGCCATAGTACCACTTCCGGTTTATTGGTGGTTTATTGGAGATAAAAGTCTCACGGACTTTTCTGCCTGGGTTGGCTTTGAACGCAATCCTCAGATCTCAGCCTCCTGAGTAGCTAGGATTACAGGCGTGAGCCTCCTAAGCCCGGCTACAAAACCTCTTTTATACTCATGTCCTAAAAGGACATTTAGTGCAGGATATGCTCCTAATTGGCTGAGACTTATTGATAACTATTTGGGATAATTTTATCTATAAATCTCTGTGTGACATGGTATCCATTCAAGATATTTGAAAGTTTTACAGACCAATTTCTTTATACTGAATAATGTATCTTTTCCAATAAATTGTATGTCTTTTCTTCCTTGTGTTTCCCATTTTAATAATATAATGATTGCAAAATTATGCATAAAGTGAATGGAATATGTATTTTCAATTTTCCATAATAATTTTTATGCAAGTTAAGTTCAGGAAATTTTAATTATATGAGGTAAAGAGCCTGACAGCTTTTAAAGGTATGCTATTTAAAATGCTTAGCAATAGAAGGCAGAATAGTAACTGCTATTTATAAAGATGCCTGAGCAGTGGCTGTTTTTATATTGGCTGTTTTATGTTGAATATTTCCTTCGACAACATGTATGTGATGCTTATTATCGAAGATTTGCTCATGGCACACTTTTCATGTTTTAATTTTTTTTCTTCCAGCAAAACAAACATTGAGTCTCTAAAAATAAAGTATAAAGTAGTACGGCTGTTGGAAGGATATTTTTAAATGCTTTTAAATCAGAGACTTGGCTTGGTTTCATGAATGAGTTTCTGGTATTTAAATAAAGTATTTTGTAATTAGCACTCCTCCAAAAGCCTGGGAAAGAAAAAGCCTGTCCAAAATCTGGCTTTGTTTAGAGAGCTAAGAAGTCAAAGAGTATCCAGGATCATCGTGGCAATTAACCGTGGCAAATATAGACACATGGTCTGACTTCAGGTTTTCCAGGAAAAATTGCTAAGGGCAGCATTTAACCCCACCTCCAGTTAGTTTTCCCATTTCCTTAATCTGGCTGGCTGCATTTATAATAGGAACTCTCTCTCTCTCTCTCTCTCTCTCTCTTTCTCTCTCTCTCTCTCTCTCTCTATATATATATATACACACATATATGTGTGTGTGTATATATACACATATACACACACACATATATATACATATATACACACACATATATGTATGCATTTGTTAAGCTTATTTGAAATGCACCCTTAGTTCAAGACATATCGTGATGAAAAGTTAAAAATATATTCAGTTAATTACATGCATTTTAAACGTGTTTTATTAGCATTCAATATTTTCTTTTTCTAATTTTTTCTTTTATATTATTGAACTATACATTTGCATTATGGACTGCTAAACATTGTAATGTTTTAAGACATACACGTGTTTGCTATAAAATGACTAAATACCATTTATCTGCCAGATGCAAACATCCTGGGACTTGTTTACATTGCATTTGTAATAAGTGGCTCACATCATTCCTATAATGGATGCACATTATCCCTTCTACCTCTAACTTTCACATAACACATACCAATTCTCAACTACTGAAAAAAGGGATTTAGTTGTTGTCATTTCTATTGTTCTTACATTTGTATGATCACAGGATTTCTTAACAGAACATTCCACTTGTGAGAAAATATGGTTGAACAATATTGTGTGGAAACATGCCTTGTGACCATCTTGTGTTTTTTATTTGCCCCTATTGATGGCATGGTAAGATTAGTAAGAATCTTTGATTATACTATTAATTCTACTTAAACTGTAAGTGATATCATTTGAAAAATTGCATTGGTTCATTCTAAGCTTCTGGTGAAAAGTCTTAGAAATATATACCATAGATTCTACTGTAGTTCCTTGAGTCCAACATAAAAACACATCCAGGAAATAGGAGGATTCGCTATTGTTATTATTCAACAGAACTTTTCAATGTTTTAGGAAGGTACAAATTGTAGGTGCATTCCTTAGAATTTCTACCAGGCTTTAGAGTTGAGCATTGGCTCTTATCATATTCAGCATTTAATATCAACAACAACTGTTTATCACTTCCTCTGCTAAAAGACAAACAATAGCAAAGATCAAACCTCTACATCCACAGATGTTAAGACCTAACAGTTAAGTTACAAGGTTGAAAAAAAAGAGACAACTAATTTTCTGTAATTCTAGACTTTGCTTTTACTTCGGGAACATTTTGATCTTCTCTATATCTGATTAGGGATTAATCTAGGCAGCTGGAAAATGTTTACAGCTTTGAGACTTCAAATAATTTTAGCTTTCTGTATGATTGAAACATCTAAATAATGTTTGAATAATTAAGTGCTGCAGCCTTATATTTGATAAATGTCCATTCTCTGATTCTTTTTTACTAGATACTGTTTAAGAATGTATTCTCTGAAGCATTTGTACTGTTTTTCTATGATTGACCTTTGTATTTTATTATATTCATTAAATAGGTGTACACAGCTTTTTCTCAATGTCTATTTTTTGCCCACTTTTCATGTCTTTGTTCTCTACTGTAATTTAATTCCTTTTTGGTTTTGAAGCTCTTGCTTAAAAATAACAAAACTGATCCATTTAGAATATGATTAAAGTGGCATTTCAAACCAGTGAAGAAAGGATGACCAATTTTATAAATGATGTTGGGAAATGTTGCAATCCATCTGGAAAAAATAAAGTTAGATTTTTATCTCATGCAATATATAGAAACAAATTCCAGATGGATTAAAGATCTCAATGTAAAATGAAAACTATAAATATTGGAAGAAAATATGGAATATGTCTTCAGTATTTGGGGAATGGAAAGATCATCTGAAGCAAGACACAGAACCTGGAAGCCTCATAATAATAGGCCAGCAGATTTTTCTATATAAATGTTGAACATTTCTGAATGGCAAAAGTATCCTAAATAAATCCCTGTTTTCTGGAGAAAAGGGAGACCTGTGAGAAGCACGAGAATTGGAAAGGTAGAGTCAAACATCATTTATTTGTATAAGGACATCTAAGACAAGCATATTGAAATTTAAGTATCAATTTAATAATTTACCTGAAATCAGACAAAACCATTTTCCTATATACAAATGTAACAGAATATATATTTGAAGGAGAGACTTCATTTACAATATGGGGTTGAACCATAAAAATACATAGGAATAAACTTAAGAATTATACAAGCTATAT